TGGCGCCACGTGGCAGGCGAGCACCAAGAGATCTATACGTACCTCTTCGAGTGCGCCAAGAGAAGGACGACTAATCTGGCGCCACGTGGCAGGCGAGCACCAAAAGATCTGTGTACCTCTTCGAGTGCGCCAAGAGAAGAAATACTGTCATAGTGGGAGTAAGCTCTCCGCCGCAACAATGGAAATTCAGGTCTCATCAACCCTCCCCCCCGCTAATTTGACAGGCAACGAGGCAACAGTGAAAGCTCACTCATGCTATCCTCCCCCTGAGTTGGTCACGTCCCTCCTTCGTCCACAAGAAGATGATAGGACAGCAAACTTTTCTCTATTCATACGTGACAACGTTCCTTCTTCGTCCCGCCCACGCCCATAGCACTCCACTACCGGTTGTGGCTCTGCTGCTACCCGTCGTCTCCCGAATAGAAACGCATGGTCATTCTCATACGACTTTACCGAGTCAGGGAGGCATCATAATCACCATGCATTCTATTTGGGACGGAGAAGGAACGTTGTCTCCGTCAGAATGTATCTGATGGTTCGCAACAAGGAATGTACATAAGGTTCAAAATCTTTGACAAAAACAATACTAGCTAGGATACGGATTGCCATCCGCAAAGCTTTATAAGATCACACAATGCATGTCCCCTTTCTTTACTCCCTCCTCCTCCCCCTCTCTCTGCTCTTTCCACTCCTCCACCTTCCCCCCCCGCTCTTCACCCACGACCCGACCACAGTCAAGGAGGGAGGGAGGGTGTTTCGTGGGAGCACGGCCCACACCTCATCATCACCGCTCAGGCAACTTAGTTCATCCTTCCTTCAATCTAGCGGCAGACTCTTCCCCGGTCGTGTCGGACGATGACCCGCCGCCCCGCCGCCCCCGCTCGTTCACCTCTGTGTGCCACAGGGCCTCCACCCCGTCGAAAACTCTTTCTCGCCGAAAAATGCTCCCGTCTCTACCTTCCTCTCTTTCCGTCACCCTCCCCTTATCTATCACTATCCCCCTCTACACCCACCTTATCTATCAGTGTCTCCTGCCCATCTAACAATCACGACCACCCCTCCCAACAAGCCATTCCACGCTACTCCTCCCGATTTCTGGTCCAGTGATGCCCAGGACGATCGATGAATCATAATCCAGATCTCATAACCACAAATCATAATCGAGATCACTACTGTAATAATCGCGGATATCTGTAAATAGACGTATCTTACACGTGTCGACAGATCTGCTGGCGAGACCTGTCTGTCTGTCGCGGTGGAGCTCCCTCGTCCTTACTACCCTACCCTCCCCTCCCTCCCTCTAGCTCCTCCATTTGTTATCTGCTAATACCCGATGCCCCCTGTGTGATCCTTCCAATGGACCCTTGCAAGACATCATTGCACTTGCTGCGCTGCTGATCCATCACCACCACCTTTCTTCGACGATTACCGTCCACCTCCTCCGCCACCTCCTCCTGCCCCTCCTCCTCCTCCTCCTCTCCGACCCCTCCGCTTATCCTCGCCGTCGCCGCTGCCCCGTCCTTATCCAGAACACCTGCCACCAACCCCCCCCCACCCTCTCTCTCTCTTTTTCTATTCCTATTCGCAAGACAAGGAGAGACATCAAGACTGAGACTGTGCCCATCGCTGTTCTTCACGGCCTCATTCACAGGCGCAGCTGCCGCCGGTGCCGCGGGCGCGGGCGCGGGCGCGGGCGCGGGCGCGGGCGCGGGCGGGGGCGCGGGCGGGGGCGCGGGCGGGACGGCAACTGTGTCTGTCACGCGAAATGCCGCCTCCGGTGCTCTCTTCCAGAAGAGACGAGAACACTCTAGCCATCCGGGACTCACCACGTGTCGCCGGGTGCTCAGACCCCACTTCGCCTTGTCCGTGCCTCGATCAACAGCGACAACATGGGTGATCTGCGGACCAATCCGCGTGTGACACGTGGCGCCCAACTCCTCAGCCATCCTCCACAGCGCGTGCGACTGCGGATTCGTCATGGCCATGGGGAAGATCCGGCTAAACACCATATGGCAGCCTGCCAGCACCTCCTTCCTAACATCTCTCATCACGTCCCTGACATCCGGGTACCCACCGTCCAATGCCACCCCCGCCCCTGGCTGTTTCTTCCCTCTGGACACCGCCGCCGCCAACTGCTGGTTTTGCTGGTCATCTCGCTGAGGCACAGAGGAGGAAAACGGGTAACTGATGTGTCCTCCTCCTCCTCCTCCTCCTCCTCCTCCTACAGCATCATCAACATCAGCCGAAGAAGACCAAGCAGAAGCTTCGAGGAAGTATCGATGATGGATCCTTCTCAGAGCTTTCAATATGCAGGCGAGGGTGCCCTCCGTCTCCTTCTCGTCCTTCCTGCTCTCAATCAGAGAGGGCCCGGGCTGACCGAACTGAGACCGACTCGATCGGAAGTAATGGTACCTTTCCGCTTGGATTATGTTCCGGCGATGACGTGGCCACACCCCCTCGGTGTCGTCAACAATAACTACAGCTGAGTCAGCACCCAGCACCACATCCAAATCCTTAATATGCTTGCGCATGCTGTCGGATTGAGAGATCACTCTTCCGCCAAACAACTTGCCGTCAGGATCGAGAAGCCTTGCCATTGCCTTCGCATACCCTCTCTCTCCCATCGTGTAAACGCTCATCTCAAACAATTGGCTAGCCTCTTCGAGGAAGCGAACGACATTAGGTCTAAGTTTAGTCCACATCTGCAATCGGGGCAACCAATAGAGAGACCCGGAGTTGGGACTTCCTCCTCGGATGTGACCGCCTCTGGCTCCCTCCGTTAGATCCTCTTCTTCTGGCCGCGCTTTTAACATACCTCGCCGCCTAGCGAAAAGACCGCCGCCGCCGCCAGGCAGCCTTTCCCCCCCCCCCCCCCCCCTCCCTCCTCCCCCCCTTCTAATAGCTCCTGACAAGGGCACATGCCTCTCCACCTGCTGCGCCTGCCGGTGCTCTTGGATCGCTTCACCCCAACGTACGCTCTTCGCTTCCTTTCGTTCTGTCCCGTCCTGCGACCTGCCCTTCAACCCCCCTGCTCTTCCTCCCATTCTCCCTCCTCCTCCTCCTCCTCCTCCTCCTCCTCCTCTTTCAAAACCAGCGACACCTCCTCCTTGACCACCGCCGTCTTTCAAGCTCACCGACTCTCCACTGACCACCACCACCTCCTCTTCTCCGCCTCCCCTTTGAACCCTCGTCGCACCCGCTGGACCCGCTACTCCGCTGCTGCCCTCAACTCCGCTTGCATCATCCTCTCCTTCTGCCGTACACGCTCCATCCCCTGCAGCAGCTGACTTACTCGCATCTTCTCCCGCTCGTGATGGAATACCATCGACTTCCACATCTCCTCCTCCCATTCCTACTGCCAGACCTTCTCCCGCTCCCAAATGATCTCCTTGACCCGCATCCGAACCACCTCCCGCTCCCAAATCCCCTTTCGCCGCTTCTTCCGGATCATCACCTCTCGCTGCCATGTCTCCTTTCCCCCAGGAACCACCTACCGCTCCCAAATCTCCTTTCCCAGCCTGCGAACCTCCTCCCACTCCCGACTCCAAAGCTCCATCCTTCACTGCTGAACATTCCATTTCCGCTGCCGCCGAACCACATCCTGCCTCTCCCAGACGTCCGGCTGTCCCTCCATCCGCGTCACACTGCGTCGCTCCGTTGGCCAGCACGCACTGCGCGCCGTTCTCCGCGGCTTTGCCTCCCTCCGATCCCGGCGGCGGCGCCCATTCCGGGTCGGGATCAGCTTGATCCATGACGCCCGGAAAGGCCTGGAAAAGGTAGTCGATCTCCTCGGGTATCACCTCCACACTGCGCGCCGAGTTCAAGAGCGTATGGTCCAGGTCCAACACTAGGTACAGCTTCTTCTTCCTGAGAATGCTCTCTAGTTCCTTGGACCTGACTCTCGCCGCCTCCTTCTCTGAAATCTCCAGCCCTTCGTGAATATACCTCAGCGACAGCTGTGATTCGCTCTGCTCCATCGCTCCCCCAAATCGCACCTCTCCGCAGCGGATGCAAACCCCCCACATGAAGCCAGGGTGTGGCGGACAACAACCCTCCTTCCCACTCCTTGCAGATGCAAACCCCCCACATTGTCGTCCTCCTCCTTCCCCCTTCCTCTTCTCCTTTCCATCCTCCCTTGGCTTCTCCCCTGCCGGCATTTCCACGCCTTCACCTCCCTTCACCTCCCTCATCCCACCCCTCCCCTCGCTCACGACGGTACCAACCACTCCCACCCCCTTCTCCAATCCACCTTCCCCCTGCGCCATTCCCAATCCTCTCTCCCTTTCCACGATATTCCCCTCCTTCGCTGAGGATCTTTTATCGTCGTCATCATCATCACCTCGTATTACATTGGTAGAGAGCACCACCCGACACTCCTCCCATCCACGTCTTTCTCCCGCCACTTGCACTCTTCTATCGCCCCCCTTTCCCGCCGCGTTTTTCCCCGTTGAAGGTCGATCGCGATCATCCCAAGTGTCGCCGAAGCTACCTTGCACTGCCACAATTACGCTTTTCTTCTCCTCAGAAAATCCACCGCCGTCATCCCCATCAGTGCCACGATACCTGCCTGGGTGGCGGCGGCGGGCCCCATCATCATCATCATCATCAAGAGCTTCATCACCAATAAACGACCCGTCTGCTTCTGCTTGATCTTCTCCGTCTGCCAAGAAGTCGTCGATCATGCAGCTGCCCAGCGCCTCGTCATCATCGTTATCCTCCTCCTCCTCCTCCTCCTCCTCCTCCTCCTCCTCCTCTTCTCTTCTGCTATCAGCTCGATCGTCAGCAGTTCGCGTGTCACTGGCTCCCTCCTCACCTTCGCTCTCTTCCGCCTCAACAGCCTCCAGCTCCGCCTCTATCATGTCCGCAAAGTCCCCACTGCTGTTCTCATGGGAGGAAGGGGAGGACGGGCAGGAGGGGCAGTAGGGATTGGACGGAGACGGTAACTTTGACACAGGCATTTGGATACAGAACGGTTAGCCGCCCGCTTGGTGATGAAAGGT